ATTATAATTCACGGAATTAGCAAGTAATAAGATGGGTTACGTAATAATTCATTTAATTTTTTACATTTATATAGCGATCTGTTAAACTACCCTGTCACTCATCCACGCTCGATTGGTCCTCTTCAAATTCTACGTAACTATTACGTAACCCAACTTATCAGTTTTTAAATGCAAGGATCCTTTATAACCTATAAAATTTTCACACCACTTATCCGTCTGTGAACTCTACTCGACCCACCCACCCTTAATGTATCCTTTGTTCTATAAATAAATGACCTTTGACCTGCATATATGCATATGTATATTGTTATTATTGATGACCTACGTTATTCCAACTATTTATATTTACTTATGTCAACTGCTTCATACCTAAATGTTAAATTGTAATGCACATTTCGTTGTAAGCAGCTGAGAAGAAACCACGAAATATAATGAATGCCTATTCAGTAAGACTTTACGTCCTTCTTAATTCTTACAGACACTGACTCGTGGACAATATCCCCAACAACGAAGGAATAAGAGGAGAACGAAAATTATGAATTACTTTATTTAATCATCATTAACTTTTAAGCATAAAAACTTGTTTACAGGTTATCATTAATAATTCTTAAATAATAACTGTTCACTTTCTTCTCAACTTCCGTTGCGAAACTTTCACCATACTTCCGTACGATGTGATGCCTGTTAATTCTTTGGCTTTGTAGGACACTTATATACTCATTTCTTTGTGTCGATAGTGCTATTGATGTGTCATTTTGCAAGTTATTGATAACACGTAACTTCCATCTGCAGTATCTAAGAAGTTCATTAGCTATACAGTTTATATTTCAAAATTAATATAGCTTACCTGAAAGAGTTCGTCTTTTAAAATATACGAGTAGCAGATGGCGGCAAGAGTATCGACACATAAGAAATGTACTACATTCACATTCAAAAGTATTTAGATCCACTGCATAGTGCTTCCCGCAATCAACAATAGACAACCAGTCTCCGGCTTCATATCCCACAGAAACGAAACGCATATGTTTAAGTTCGTATAACACTTTACCTCGCGCGTATGGCGTAATCATTTTCAACAACGGAATCAAACGCTGTGGGGTGTCATATGTACACGACCTTGAGGCTGTTATTTGCTCTTCAATATTTTTTCTAGACGACGTCATTACACTCCATTTGATAACTTTGTATATGCATTTATATAAACTATCTGTTCTCTTCACATACCTTTTAATCTGACGGTTGAGGGACTCGACACGATTATTTGTGTTATTGTCCGACGTTAAAACATTGCCGTAAAACGCTAGAGCCCACATACTTTTACGCGACATCCAAAATCGATGAAGATATTGAGCTAGCTGCCTGTCCCTTTGGTTAATTATTCTGAAATATTGATTAAATCTGGTCAATAAATACATTTAAAAAAATTTCGTCCAACCGTTTTAGTGTTTACCAATCGACTGAGGTACGTTCTCACAATTTTGTCACGTGTCTAAGAGCAATGTTATGTAAGTAACTATTGGTGTACCTTTTTGCGGAAAGCGCGGATTACGTGAAGAGCGCACATAATAATGTTTGCGTGCCCGTGTGTGATACGGACAGCCGCGCTTTCTGATCGTGCACAATCCATAACAAATGTTTCTGTCCGTCTTGTTGTTCCCATGAGTTCTTTGAATTTGTCTAAAATCCAGGTGACATCTGCACGCATTTCCTTTCGCGTCCAGGCAAACATGACTGTACGTCCTCGACCAAAGTTATCCGTTACAACCAACTGGAATAAGGAATATCTATAAAATAAAATACAAGCAAAAGAACAATCACTTCTTATTATTGGTATTATAAGTAGAATCAATGCAAACAACTTCCGGATATTCATTGTACAAGTGCATTTGGTCATAACTACTGAAATATATTCTCGTTACATATCCATTTTCTAAATGTTCCCTAACTTTACCTTTCTGTCGCAGCAAACCCATAACATTTTTACGCGTACAACTACCTGAAATATACTTTTATACACTTACATGTGGAGAGTTTAGCTTTCATAGACTTGACATCAACAACAGTGACCACCTTACCAGTTCTCTCCTTGACACATTCTATAATTTCATCAGTTGACTGCGACTGCAAAATGGCTGGCTTTAAATTCTCTTTTTCTTCCGACGATAATCTTCTTGTCCATTGATCACAAACCATCCATGAACTACTACATGGATGATTGTGGAGCATCTTGTAGAATTTGATGACATATCCTTCCGCCTCCAGTCTTACACGGAACTTTGATTGACAATTAAATAATTTAGACCTTAAACGTCACATATTAGGTAAAGTTCTCACGATTTTTGATTCACTTTCAAACCTTCTGATTTCCGCTTATGACCAAATGTACAATGAAAAGCAACAAACAGGTATTTGAATCTGACGTCTCTCAGCAATTTGCTTTCTACGTGAATTTAATGAGTGCACGTAGTCTGAGAAATGATAAAATCACTCTTCCATACTTTTTGGAACTCTTTTAGGGCGTTATCAAAGTCATCCCAGTATGCAAAACGCTTGTTCAGTATCATACTTTGAATAGGTTCACTAAGGTCGACTGAAATGTCGCTTGAGCACGAAGCACTACAAACAGAAATCACTATTTATAAAAAAATAATTCCTTGAAACAGTAATAACTCAAGGAAGAACTATAAATACTTAGGATTTACCGCTGATTTGACATTTCGTATAGGTTTACTACAGCAGTTGGGACCACAGATCAAATTACGAAGCAACAACAGAGCTAAATTAATGCGTTTGATAATTATTTTGTGCTTTTCAATGCAGCAAAACATGAATTAATTATGAAAAAACTTGACACTCATGAAACCCAACCAACCCACGGCAATAGAAATACTGAAAGACCGCCTCTTTTCAGGCTGTTCAAGGTCGTTGAAACGAAAGCGCGGGCAGCTTCGAACGGTCATAACGTTTTTCCTGTGCCCGTAATGATACTGCCAATTAGAGAACAGTGATTTATCGACCGGATCCATGACGCATAAAACCTGTACGAGTAGTCTTTAGTCATTGTCGGTCCTTCTCTCTATCTAACCCTGCCTGTCAAAAGTTCAGAATGTTTTATATCATATTATCACATTCTTAACCATCTTATGTTCTATCTCATCTCAACTTCAGTAATTAAGTTGTGTGAAATCTTTGTTTCGAATCAGTTTGATATTCTTACCGTCAAGCAGATGAGAAGTATTCAAATAGAATGGTGAATGTCTTCAAGTCTATTAATTTTTTTATTCTTGTGTCTGTTAAGCACGGGTGTAAACAACAACATACCTTAGACAGGCTTTTTGTTTGTTCAAACAAGAACAGATTTGTGCAAGGGTATAATATGAGGTCTCTACAATGTAAAACAAAATAGTACAGTATTTTTGTAATAGAATCGTAGATCAATAGTTTACATGTCAAATAAAGTGAATTAAACTACCATAAGTGTTTCCATTATCTTAATATTTTGTAATATCCGCAGGTGTAAACATATTATGACAATTAGACTGGTATTTTCACCGACAAATAATTCACTTTAGAACTTCCGAATATCTTCAAGAAAAAATATGCAATTACAAGATGATAGATTCACAGTAGAATGTTTTATTCCATTAAAAATATTTTCACCTAAATTATCCTTTAAAATGGTATAATTTACTAAACAGATAATGAATGTGTAAAATCCTGTAATCATCTAAAAGTTGGAAATAACTTAATTCTCAAACAGTTTAATGTTTGACTGATTTGATTAACAAATAAAAATGTCCAATTAAATGATTGAATATTGTTTCCACAATGAAGAGATGAATGTTAAAAATAGTTATCAGAAGGGGTTTTATATGGATATTTTAATAATTTCAATAGTTGAGATTATGAGTCAATTAAAGCTAGACCACCACTTTTAAGGAGTCCCACAATAGTATAAAATGACCGTCCAGTGCTTCCAGGTTTTCCATGGTGGTCTAGCCTCAATTGACTAATGATTTCAACTATTGAAAAAAATAGTTATATAAGAAAGCATTGATTGAGATATGAAACTATGATAAGTGACAATTTTTCAATTGCTCTAATCCATTAAGCGTGATTAAATTAAGTAAATATCTAGGCTACAATAAAATCCTCTTTTTATATGATGATAAATATTTCATTCAAATTCAAAGTATCATTTTAGTTCAATGCAATGAACCTATATGTACAGGGTGCGACAATGTAAATATTATATGAAAAACAATTTAGAATATTTATTTAAGTAAATTTACTGTTTAGTGTTTGCCAAATTGGCATACATAACTTTTGATTGTTAATATCCACATTTTAAATTATCATAAAGCAAAATGATTAGAAATTTGATAAACAGGCTTGCCTGATTATGTGAATAATGGAATTGGTTTTTAATGGGGTGTTAAGTTGAAAAATTCTCTTGGCGAACGAGAAGTCAGCCAACTGTCTTTATGAATATAAGCCAAGTTATAACATGGGGCTTCAGTAAGCGTTTCTTTCATAGCCTTTGTACTTTCTTTATCCAAACCTCATTGATGATACAGTAGTGTACGAAAACTTAGGTACGGTAACCCAACTTATTGTCGATTAAAAAAATGCACGATGCCATTATAATATATGAAAATCACACATAGAATACATTATATGCAAATCTTCCTTTAATTACCCTTTACATACTCCATCATTCTTCTAATTCTGTTGTTTTTAATGCTCTCCGTTTTCCTTTCACTTCTTTTCATTTCAATTTGTTGCTGTTATACATTCCACTTTCTATTCCTGCTACGTACTACTTATATCTGTCTGCATAGGAAGTGCACACTCTAATACCACCGCTAAAATCTAAAAAATGTTTAACAGAAATATTTTGTTACTTAAAGTTTCTTCTTTATCTGATCCACGTGTTTATATTTACTTTCCAGATAATTATGTATTTCTAATTATATTCTTCAAAATGAACTGGTGTAGTTCAAGGTGACAAACATTTCACTTAATTTTGTTGGCACTTAAAATGAATGGATCAATAGACGTAAGTAAACTGTCTAACTGATGTTACCTTCACTATCTATATTTTTTTTCAACTGTCTTTTGGACGGTGTCACAGAATGAAAAGTCTCAGAATAACATAAAATCATTCATTTATATTTCACAAGCTAGTATCTATCTGAACTCAGCAGTTAACACGATGGCGTTTGAGGCGAACGGCATTGAGTTCAAGCCTCAGTGTGAAAACCAAATCTGAGTTACAGTTACATTTAGCTGATGACTTCAAAATAAAACAAATTGTGCATCTTGAACTCCACTGTTAGCCACCATCCATGTCTGTTTATATTGACATACTATCGCGTTTTATTTTTGTGAAGTAAAATCTAAATAAGAGAGCTACATTTTATTCAATTTTACTACCATATTAACTCTTATTCAAAAACTAAAGGATTTTCAAAATATTCGAAGATAGGTAGTGGCTAGCAGTGGAATCCAGAACGCGCGTTTCGTCCTATTTGAGATTCGTCAGATGGATGTACCTGCATCTTAAAGTTGACGTTCACTCCGGCACTCGAACTCAGTAACGTTTGCTTCAAACGCCATCGCTTGTGAATTAAGGCTATATTGATGCATTAGGCATAATATACACATATGCCAAAAAGAGACTGATCAAGTGCAGTCCCAAACACCAATGGGAAGATTCAAACAAACAATACCAAGTGAATTTTCAAAATAGCCTGATTTCCTAGTCATCATGTTTATCTTTTATACTATCTAAAAGTTCATTTTGATATTCATGTCTTTGAAAAAATTTATAAGATTCTATTAGTTCAGGAAAGTCATTGAATTATGCTTTTAATTAATGTTTTTTTTTAAAATACGTTACTTGAAACTTTATCATATTGAATCATCTTGTTGCTAATTCGCAACTATTAACAATGTTAAAGTTATAAAGGAAAAACACTTTCAATCTATAAAATCTTTTATTTATAGTGCGATAGTTCTACGGCTAAGTGCCTAATCAAACAATATGTCGTTTGTGAATATGTGATACGTAAAAGTACCATAGTTCGTAGATAAATAGGGTGTTCTAAAAGTATGATTCCACTTAATCCTTTGTAAATTTCAGGAATACTAGAAAATTATAGTCCGTTTACTCTTAATCTGTTAACTCCTTATTGAGGTATTTCATAAAGCAAACTATCAAGTTTTATGAAATGATTATAATAGTTATCATGATACAAACATAGGTACACACCAAATAATGCCAAAAATCTGTACTTTATATAGTCATAACTATAATTGACTTACAATATTAAAATACTCCATGTTATTTAGAAACATTATAAGAAACGAATAATCATACATCCTACAAAAGATACCTAAATTCTATCAAAATATTGGTTTTAATAATAAAACTCAATGACCTGACTAGGTTAAGTAACGTTGTGATCAATAAAAATGTGATCTAACATAATGTTTTCATAAAAATTCAATAGTATTTAATTTTCTTCTTACCTCTTATAGAACTAAGGTGTTATCTTCGAAAAACAGGTAGGTTGTGGAAGATTTACCCTTCTTGTGGAAATAATAAATACGAATCAAATAAACGGTTACATCAATGAATAATTATTTTACTAAAAGGATATAGATGTGTTAAATTTATTGTTTTGTATCTGTATGCCAATCACTTTAGGTATAAGTACAAGTATGTACATATCATGGATTTGTAAGGGGATAATTCTTGATACTTAAAATGATATTATAGCACAAGATGACCAATCAATATTAACGTAAATAACATTAAAATAATTTTATAAATGAGTTTGGTATTAACACATGGATAATAAAATAAGAAGTGGCGTTTTCATCAAATCTAACTTACAACTAGTAATATTCATATATTTAGGAATCAATAATAGTCAAAAGTCATTTGTCAGCCAAGTTTGCGCGCAACTTTCGAAAAATTTATGTTTCAACATAGGTTCAAGTCAAACAGATAAGTTTTCAATAAACAAACTGGTTATTCGATTGCTATACATACTCCATTGTTGATAAATGTAAAGAGGTATAAAATCGAGGTTGATAACCTTCATAACTCTCTTCAGGACCTAATAAATATGAGATGCCTTAGAAGGATTGGAATGCTAGTATAACATATTTTGTTAGCTGTGAGAATAACCAAAATTTTTCGAATCTGTTTAAACCTTTTAATTGTAATTTCCTCACAAAAAAGATTTTTAATTAATTAATGAGCGGATTCTTCAAAACAGAAAATCATTTTGAGTTTTGAAGTTCTAATTACCCGTATATGATATTCATGTAGTAGGTTCCTAGAGTCTGTTGACAAAATTTACTGAATGCGCTATCATCTCTGTTCTTATAATAAATAAAATAAATAATTATTTCCAGGGTATAATTTATTTTAGTGGAGTTTTGTTCTCTGAGCTGGATGGTTCGGTTGTAGAGCTTTCATTACTGTTTTGAACGATATCAACGCACGAAATTCAGATAGAACTTCTAACTGAGCTGTAACTCTTCTCCACCATCTCAATATAATCTATTTATTTATTCAAACTAATCATAGTCAACTTCATTTTTAGTGATGAATATTAGACCATTATTGGACAACGTCCAAGCAAGCATTGTTATCATGTATACTGATGAGTTCAAGGTATGTTGAAACCCATAACATAGATCGCTACTCTAGTCACAATACAAAATAGACTAAAAATTATACCTACAGATAATATGAAGATGTTCATCCATGGCGTTCATATTTTAAACAGTGATTTATCAAATTTAGTCTTTGATTCAAATTACGACGTAATACACAGGCTAATAAATATACTTTATTACTAAACATTTAGAGCCAATTAATTTTTATTCATCATGAAATTAGACTTGTTAACAAGTTCATTAAATTTAATCAATCAAAAAACAACTCCATTTATAAAATATTTTACATTGTTAGTGTACATATAAACATATATTAAAACTATCTAATATCTTATCATGTATGAAATCAATATGGCCGGTAAATATAAGTGTGATTTATCTACCCCCATATGATGATATTCTAAGTGTCGCACTATGTTTCTCTATCACTCTCTTTTATATACTGTGTATCTGTCTTCCGTCCAGTTTTTTTCAGCTAACCAACGTGATTAAATTACATCACACATACACTATTGTATTAAATATCACTATAAAAAAAGAAACGACCAAAAATCGATGCGGTTCTCATATAAAAAAGTAAATTATAATAACTGACTGAACATTCTTATTTCTCATTTACCTTGTTTTGTTTTATTCACATATTGTGTTATACAGTTCTGCGTATACAATAATAAATTATCATTTGGCTGATCTTTCTCCATCTAAAAAGAATTAGAATTATACATACATATATAAATACATATATATATAATCAAATTAACTATTCAATTATATAATTATGCCACTTGGACGTTCAAATAAAAACCAAAATTTACGTACTGCTAAATCGGATAGTTCACTTCATCAACAAGAATATGATCAAAAAACAAATCAAAAAGTAATTTATCGATGTATTGTATGTGCACTTGATAGAACTTTAGTGAATACTATAGAAGTAAAGGAAAGAAATAACCTAAGTGATTTATTTATTTCACACATGAAGAAACGTACAAGTCATCAAGTTCGTTTTATATGTTTACAAGATCGAATTATTTTTCGAAAGAAAAATTTTGTTGCTAAATCGTTATTTCGTGATCATGTATTGTATAAAGATGTAGAACATTTTTTTATGTGTAAAGAATACCCAGATATGTTTATGTTATCAGTGAGATCTGAATTTCCATATTCAAGTTACTGTGAAACATATAAATGTAAAGATCCTAATGATACTCAACGTTTATGTGAAATAATTTATAATGCATCTAAACACTCTGATAACATGGTACATGATATGCCATCAGTTGATTCTCCATTAAAGGCACAATCTATGTCATACATTGATACTCAAATAAGTTCAGAAGTTACAAATAAAAATCTATTGAATCGTTCATTATCAAATAGTTTAAATGATGGTTGGGCTACACCAAAATTACATAATGAATCACCTATACAACTATCAACAGATTCACCAGCTCGATCACCATTACTTTCTTATCGATCACCTGTTCAAACGCCGATGAGTCGTGATTCTCAAATTAAACCATTAGTAGTTACACCAATCAATACGGTGAATACTTCAGCTTACGTATCTGCTCCAACTGAAATAACTACAAATACAACTTATTTCGATTATGATCCTATTCACGGACCACAAATTAATGAAGTTGGACCAATTTATATGTTTATGGTTAGACATCCATCACAGCCTGACATGACACATTTAATAAATTAATCATAATCAGTAATTAAATACAACGCAAAAAAACGAAGAGGAGAGTTTTTTTCAAAGAAAAAAAGGAACAAGATTAATTTTGTTTGCCAAAAAGAAAAAACTATTTTTTTTAAAAAAGAAGTATAACTTTTATTTTATTATTTATGTTACAAAAGTTATGTTAAAAGAAAGATGAAAATATCTATGAAAGGTAATGCGGCATTGTTTACACATATGTTTTACAAGAAACATTGAATTGATTATAATAGTTTTACTTTTAGCAAATTGACATGATAAAAGTATTATTATTATTATTATTGTTATTGTTGTAATATTTCTTGCTTTTTGTTTGTTTATTAAACCATTTTTAGAATTAGTTCATACTTTATGAATGAACGTTGTTATTTTTTTCTTTAAAGAGCATCCATCAAAGAATGAACTTTTGTTCTAAGTAATATAGTATTAGTATTATTAGTATAATTATGATTTATTTGTTTATTTATTTTTCTCCTTCTATTTGATTTGACTAATAGTTTAAAAATTTATAAAGTCCATTTTCATAATGATGTTAATATCATTTTCTGACAATAATGGTAACAGTTTATTCATTAAAAAACTGATGAGAATCATCTAAATATGATTCAACTTACAATAAAAACAAGAAACTTGAGACTATACTTAATGCTCTTAATCGATTATCATGTTTGTTTGTTTATTTTTTGTTTTTCTTTGAAATTATCTTATATTAACGGTTGAATGTTATTATTTATTTTTACAACTATAACAAACAAATGGTATTTATAATGAATTGGATCATGACCAAAATAAGATCTAATATAGTTGTTGTGAATTAATATTCATGTTAGGAAAGGTTTATTTTAATACATAAAAGTATTCTTAAAAATTCGTTTAATGTTATCAATCACTAAATAAATGTAGAAGGAATAAGGTTAATTAAAAAGTATATGTGAATGTAATTGATAGAATAACACAGATTGTTATATTTCATAACAATACTCATGGAATATAAATTTACGTTCTGAAAGGTTTTATACATTCAACCAAAATATTCGTATATTGTTCCGACATTTTCGGAAAACAATCTAAAGTGATAAATGTTAGGACAATTAAATTAATGATACATAAACATAATCCAAATCTCGATCGAGCAATAAAAAGATAGAGTTGATCTTATTGTTCTGTCAAAATTTATAAAATGAACTATTTTAAATAATCATAAACATTCTGATATGTAACATAAATATTTATTTATTTTGTAATTCTCGATTGAAAATTTAAAAAAGTCTATACATAACAATATTTTGTAATCAAAAGTATTACACTGAAGCTGAATTTTAATATAATCAACAAACATTCGTAGCCTGAATTTTTTTAAAAAAGTAGCGGGATAGTTTTTGGCATCATTAAATAAGCTATTTATCATAATACAAATATTTTTTTGTATCATATTATTATAGCTTAATAAGTTGATGTTTAACAGATCAGCAGTTTACAATTGATTGATTACTGGATGGTGATCAATGTCATATATGTCAGGTCCTTCTTAGTGCAGATCGAATCCTATCATACGAGTTACAATATAGCTACTGGATTAGCAGTTTAACATACTATTGTTTTGAATAGTTTCATTCATCAAAGTATCTAAGAAAAATTTGTTTGTTGTAGCATCGATTATTTTTCTTATTCAAGAAAAATTGGTTGTTACGTAATCAATATTTTAGTTGTTATGTAGATTTTTTATTAGTTAATATCGATTTTCTCAAAACATAATAAACTTGTTGAATGATAAACATAGTTTAGACTGAAATAATTCTAAGATGTCGGTCTTGACAAACTGACAGTGGATTAGACAAAATATTTTATGTTCAATATTGAATTTCAAAAAACATAGGAAATGAGAAGGAATCATTGATTTCAGAGAAAATATTTCCTACTTCATAAATAAGTTAATAAGCCTATTAAAGCTATAAAGTGAATACTTAAAATGTTTTTTTGAGCTACGTGGTTAGTCAAAAGATTACTTTCAAGCTATTTTGAGACAATATCTAGTTAAATTAATGTTATGTAATATAGTTCGAATTTTGATAATCTAAGCTGGATTGTTGTCTTCTGTGGTTCTTTAAGGTTAGTCAGTAAACAATGTATGTGAAAAATATGATTAAAAGGTTTAATGTTAAAATAGTTTAAATTGACTCATAACAGGTAATTATAATTTCTTCAGTCCTGTGGAAATCTACTCCATGGATACTAGGTTGCTTCTATATGTAACATAAAATCGAAAAAAGAATATACGGTATCTGGTTGCACGTCTATTCAATATGGCTTTATACATGATCTACAAATATAAATGTCTACAACATGTTAATTTGATATCCTGGCTATTTTATTACTTATATTTAAAAGTAGTCATCATAATTCTAAACGTCTTTACTTAGCATCTAAGCTATAATCTACTTTAACATTGTATGGAACAGATTATACATCATACAAATATTGTTCGATAAGTCAAAAAAATTATCGCTGGTTTAAAACTTTACGGTACAAAACGTATAGAAATATGATAAATAGATAAAGCGTTTTAATTGAGATCATGAACCGATTGATGTTAGACTACCATTGAAAACCTGGAACTACTGAAGCGCCGTTTGATCCTGTTGTATAATTCCTTAACAGGATTCAATCCCAGGGCCTTCAGGCTAACGCTCCAACGCGAACAATGAAAGATGGTCGTGCGATATTGTGGATTAGTTGAAGTTATACATTAACATCGTTGGATGCCGGCTCAGTGGTTTAGAGGTTAAACGTTTGCGTGCGAGACTGAAGGCCCTGGGTTTGAATCTCGAAAGCGGTATAGTGGATGCGCACTACTATGGAGTCCCACAGTAGGACGAATCGGCCATCCAGTGCTTTCAGGTTTTTAATGGTGGCTTGACATCAATCGGTTCATGTTGTCAATCAAAAACTTGATAATTTCCACAACCCTATACTGATAAAAGGTTTTAAGTTTTCTACGTTGTTCAGTTTATTAGGTTATCCAAATATGTTATTATAATTTAACGAGTTCATTGAAAACGAGGTGAATAATCACATCAAAAGAGAAACTTACATCAACATAATTATCTCACTAGCTAATGGAAAATGAAGTACAGAACAGAAAATAAATTCATTTAATATCATCTCTTTACCAAAATACTGAAATATAATGCATTTCTTCCTCAAGAATATTTTGTTTGTAACTGAATTTTCAAAGCAATAAGTTTAAGTAATTAACCAACACCAAAAACATTGCAACATGTTGTACAATACAGTAAGAATTTAGTCAATAGTCTTGTAAACCTAAGTAAATGTTTACATATATATTTGAGTTCTGCAATATTTTACTCACAATTAAAGAATAAAATAATGTTGATTGATATGAAATTGTCTATTCCTACAGGTAAAGTGTGTGCATAGAAAACTGAAAGTCTGGTGTTGCTCTAGATCATATAGTCTCACAGTTGATACAAACTTCCTTTGAATACGTCTACGGAAGTAGTTGTCATTACTCGATAAGTTAGTGGGTCTCACTTGTTAATATTAAGATTTAAAAGTCGATATTTAATGGACACGTTTTTCAGTAGAAATGTATTATAATAACATATCTCAAAACTGAAACCAGGTGGCCACTTATCCTTTTATATAATAATCTATTCCAGTTAGGGAGTCGAGTATTAATTAACCTCCAGTATTGTTAAAATATTTACATTGATATCACCAAGTAATAAACAGATAGATTAATGGTAACTTCTCTAAATTAATTAGCTTATGAATCGTCTTCGAATCTGACGTGTAGAATGGGTTTCGTTACGACTTCAAGTACGCATTGTTAAAAAGAGTGAAATAAGAAGGGACTTATTTATAGGACGTCTTGTCAATCAACTAACCATGGTGATTATTATTACATTTACTGATAAGAAATTAACTTATGTGGAAGCAGGAAATTTTAATCAGTATGGTGGACGAGCTGTTAAAATCGATTATAAGTTACAAAAAAGACAGCTGTAAAGTATCTGTGATGATAATAGGCATTTCAACAACAGTTCAATCTGACGTTAGAATCCGAAAAATGCATAACAACCTACTTGGTTATGAAAAAAATATTTCATGTTTCTGAATTGTTGAAAAAAAGAAACAATGCTGATATTAATCATGATGAAATCATTATGAAAATGCAACTACATTCAACAACCTAAATGGTAAAATATAAAGTGTTGACAAAGATTACTTATCTTTTCAAAGCGTATGTGTAGAAAAAAAGAGTTCTGAAGGATAATACGGGTAAAATGTTGTTATCAAGACAGCCTAAAATAATCTACGTACTTGTTTTCCACATAAAAGCTGGGTTTTAAACTCTCAGTTGGAGCTATGTTAACAAAGCATAATGTTCATCATATTTTCTAAACAAATAAAGCTTCTACATTCATTACCGTCAATGAAGAAAATTGATGTGATTTTTCTATTTCTATGAATATGCTTCACTCAGAATTGTAAAAGAATGTCTTATTTCAATAACAAATAGTTCATTGATTAACCACAAGTTTTTCCTTTAAATAACATTCAAATCTGTCTTGACAGCCAAATCGTTTGACTTTTTCGAAGTTTCTTCATAGTTATCACCTAAAAATGAGTTAAGTTCAGACCAGATTTCATTATTTATTAACATAAAAAGAAGTATTTTTATCTTGACACGTAAGCATTAACTGGAATTTTAATAATGGATGTTATTGAGCTGCATAGTTAGTCTATTATTTTATGACTGATTTTACAGTTAATCTCTCTTTTTCATACTCTTGTTCTCTTACAGCCATATGCTTCACTTTCCATCTTCTCCTTAAATCTTCTATCCCCAACTGGTTTGTTTTTATTTCCACGATCATTCCGATTACATTTCACCTCTATTTCAACATCTTATTTTATCATGCTGAGCCATCCTTTCCCAATGATAATTTTCCTATCTATCTTTTAATGAATACCTAAGCCATTAACAATCAATCGATTATTAAACTTTCCTTGTTTCTAAAAAATTTTTATTACCTTTGTTTATTTAACCTCACTGTCACCATGTATAACAAGATTATTATTAGTATTACCATTATTATCCTGTAAAAATAAGTATAATTATTTGCTATTGTACAGCTTCGAAAATGAATTTGCCGAAAAAAGAACTCTTCGCTGAACTAATCTTTTTTATTTAATCACTAGTGAACAACATAAATTTCTCAGTCGTCAAAAGTATATTTAAATTCTGTCCACATAATAGAAAACCACCTAAATGTGTAAACTATGATTTTATATTTTAACTACCTCCTTCATGTAGTTGGTTGTTTACGCGGGCTATAATAGTGACGACTCAAATGTCATTAAAAGACTGTTAGAATTTATCAGTCAATAACAATAGAGACTATAATATTTTTAAGTTTCATGAAAACTAATATCGAAGTGAGTTCATTTAATTTCGATCAAAGAGAAATATTATAATGAAAATGAGCATTGAGCCTGATCATTGTTCTTGATCTACAAAAAATGTACAAATTTCCAAAACTTTTGGATATCTAAGCCAAATATAGTTAGTTGTTAAGGTATATTTCCAGATACTGTTTACAGTTTGGTACTAACGCTTATCTTGAATTGATATCGAACAAGGAATTATTGTAAATCAAAGAGCATTAAACGGATGTTCAGTCTAATTTAAACATTTTCAGTCATTGACAAATAATTATTCTCAAAGTGTATAAAATGCTTATCTAAGTTATGATTATGCAACCACTAACAACTATAGGTATCATTACCAAGATTTGATTTGATGATTTCGAATAAATTGAGCATTGGGTAGATTTTTATAAATAAACAATATATTTGTAATATCCCAATGAGTAGAAAATTAGATTTTCTGACGTTTCGTGACTTAGTGTAAGTCACTTCTTCATAGAATAAATAACCAAATAACCAAATTGGTTATTTATTCTCTGAAGAAGTGACTTACACTAAGTTACGAAACGCCAGAAAATCTAATTTTTCTACTCATTAGGATATCATAAATATATTATTTATTTACACTAACAACCATGTTTAGATGACCTTAATGTAGTTTTGATTAAAAGCCATGAAATGTAAAATTACCCATATTGAAAGTGTGACTGTAATTCAGTTGTAAGTCTCAATTTATCATAAATTGATTTTAGTTAAAAATATAGAATATTTCATTTGAATACAACAGTTCGATGGTATTGTACACACTGTACAATATCTCAAGATTCTGAGTCCACTTAGTTTGGATTCGTCATAAGTATCGTTGAGTAGTGTCAACCATTAAGAAAATAGCATTCAGATGATTCCTAAGTTTTAAATTGTCTCCAATTGGTATTAGTCAGTAATAAGAAGTTACATTCAAACTTAATTAATATTCAATTTTGTTTACTTCACTAAAGCTACTTTTATTGTATTCATTAAAGAATAACTATTATTTCAAAAGATAAAAAGTAAAACAAACACATCAAATTTATTTTAGAATACGAAACACACAAATACTGAATTTCATCAAAATTGTATTTATATAATTTATTATTATAATTCATTTAGTAAACAGAGGTTTGTAAGTACTATTTCAAACTGAGTATAAAAAGTAATATTATAGTGTACTAGACTATCCAATTCACAAGGCATAATTAAATGATCAAATTTATTTATATTTTCGTTTTAATTGACTAAACGAAGGATTTGAACTTGATGACTCGTAATTGAATAAAGATTCTGATTCATCTTGTGAAGAACTTGATGTTCTATCAGAGTTTGAAGTTTTTGACTTATATGTAATGGAATGACGTTGATGATAATAACTATTGATAATGTTAAAATATAGGCGAGCCTTAACTCCCATAACACATTTTAAAAAATCTATAAAGAAGTCGTGGGATGTTGAATCTTTTATTTTGTACAACTCATAACGACGTTGTTTGTCAGTACATGAATCAATGCATAACACAAAACAGCCAGGGGTTGATATGCTTGGTGAGGTGAAAATATATTTCACTTCAGAATATATAATACATGGTTTTGGGTAGGTATTTAGCCTGCGATTCTTGTTATGCAGAACAAATCTATCTGGAAGGACAAATGCCTTATATTTAACTGGTTTTATTTTATGATACTTTTCGATAAATGAAATTGCATTAGATTCCGTGAAAATTTCACAAGGTGGTAACAAAACAGAATTAAGTAATGAAATGTCAATTTCATGTAAATATTCCCCTTTATTACGTTCTGACGAATAACTGTGTCTACGCAGTTGATTGGCTAACAGTAATGAGTTCTGTTTACTGTGAGTCATGTGATGTTACTCGTATGAGAAAAGGCTTGAACATGCATAATCTGGATCTCTTTGGAATTCCAAAATCAACTGATCACTGAGGAATTTCGATATGTATGTATTTTGTATTTGTAATTCAAAGATTAGACATGATTTAATGAATTGTCGAAAGCACTCAAAGTTATCACAAATTAAAATAGCAACAATGTAAAGAACAGATACATTTGTATATATGTGTGAATACGTTAAAACTTGTGGGTGTAAGTGTATATGCTAAACCTTTTATTCGCCCAATAGAAATTATGTTTTGTAGCTTTATGTATGACGCATATTTGAATCGATCATTGATTAAAATTGGAACGTAATTGATATTTAAATGTAATATCCTACTCAATTTGTGAAAGTCATTAACAAATGGTTATTAGTATCCTTTAGGATATGATATATATTAATGAAGTCGAGTAATTTTAGCCGATAAATTATACGAGAACTCAGTAGATCATCCAAACTTTTATAGTATTATGGAAAAAGAGGTTTCGGAGATAAAGTATATTTGTATTCGAATTAAAGCGGTAAATACTTGTGAACAATCCTTATATACAATAGGATTCCATCGATTCAAAGTTGTTACGAAGAATGTATTTTTTTGTCGGAATGGGGGTTAGTGGAGATTGTAGTAATTTTTGATAGTTGAATTCATGAATCGATCAAAGCTAGACCATTATGGACAACCTAGAAGCATTGAATGGTCGTTTCGTCCTAGTATGGGACTCTTCAGCAGTGCGCATCCACTATCTCGCACTCGGGATTCGAACCCGGCGCCTTCGGTCTTACGCACGAACGCATAGGCTCTAGAACACCGAGCTGGCATCCAACGGTGTTAATGTTTTACTTCAACCAATCCACAACATTGCGCGACCGTCCACTATTGTCTTCAGTGAGTAATGGCCGCACAACAAACACGGTTGTTAAACCGTCTTAATAGTAACTAAAACTGTCTTTTAGAACTATCATACATTTTTTTCCATCGATAAACCTGATGAGATTAAGAATAACAAAAAAAGTAGAATAAGAAGAACTTATTTATTTTCTGCATTCTTATCAGTTCCTTGCGGCCTAGAAACAATAATTATAACCATTATTTTAAACAATGTGACATACGTTCTACCATCCTGACCGTTGTTGCTACCTTGACGTGGTGGTCGGGCTTGCCTATCGTGATGAAGCAACTGAGCTATACTGGCTGGAACAACCGTTCCTCAAGGTCCTACCATGCCAGACAGGTCGGTTGAAGAGCGGTAAGACTAAAAGCAACAAAACCAAGGTCCGAAGGCGAAGTCGTACTGCTGACTGTACAGAGGTGTGACAGCAGTAAGGTGTTTCCTTCAGACAACCAGCATGACAGCGATGCTGCCTTCCCACAAGGAGGGGTGGGGTTAGAAAAGGTCGACCCTAAAAATGCACACCTCGCCTTATCCCACGGATATCCGTCTCCGGCGGTAAGGACTCAACAAGTACGGAGCTAACACAAAAATCACTCATAAAAAGGTCGTGTGTGACCGACCTCAAGCAGCTGTCCCTTGGGCACTGCGGTCACGCTCTCAGGTCACTATGACCACCTCTAATCCAATTTCCTTTTCAGGTACCTCCAGCAGAACCCTTCCACGGTGTGGGCAACCGGGAAGTGATAACCGCCCTCATACCTCTAACAGCACTCAAGACCACTGTATTCATAGTCAACCTCCCTCTTCAATTCCTATTATTCCTCCTACATCGACTTTATACACTAAACTTCCTCTTTTAGCTTCCTCCTCAAGTGTCATCACAGCCAACGATTCTAGTGCTCAAAACACTGTCCCAGGTCTACTGAAACCTCGCTCCAAACTATACATTGGAGCCTTCAACGTACGCACACTATGCCAAATCGGTCAGCAGGCTTCCTTGGCTAAAACCCTAGAATCTCGTACCATTGATGTATGCTGTGTCTCCGAAACACGCATACAGGATCCTAGTGTGGTCATTCACTTGACCTCACCTCGGCAAAACGGAGAGCCAACGAGATACACCCTCCGTGTATCTGGTGACCCGATGGCTAGTTCTCGTGGACTGGCAGGTGTAGGCATAGCACTTAGCATGAGGGCGGAACAAGCGCTATTAGAGTGGATCCCCGTTAACAGTCGTCTATGCGCTGTTCGGCTAAACGGCTCCGTAAGAACTCGGAAGGATAGGGACACACGTCGTTGCCTTTTCGTCGTTTCTGCCTACGCTCCCACTGACTGCAGTTCGGATGAAGTGAAAGATGAATTTTACAGAAAGCTGTCTGAACTTCTTCAGAAAGCTAAACGTTCAGACATAGTACTCGTAGGAGGTGACTTTAATGCCCAGGTAGGTAGCTTAAACAAAACAGAAAGACATTTAGGTGGGTATTTTAGTATTCCGGCACAGCGAACAGACAATGGTGATCGTCTGCTGCAACTGTGCTCAGACAATCGTTTATTTTTAGCAAACACAAATTTTAAGCATAAGGAGAGACACCGTCTAACATGGCGACCCCCTGCACCAAACCAACGATGGACTCAAATAGACCATATTGCCATCAGTCATCGTTGGAGAGGGTCAATAGAAGATTGTCGCTCATTCTGGGGTACCTGCTTGGACTCTGATCATGCCCTAGTACGAGCACGCATCTGCTTGCGCCTCACTGGACGCAAAAGAGCCACACAAAAAAGACTCATTAGAACCGAATCGAGTAATGAGAAAGCCAAAAGTAGGTTCCAGGAACAACTGAGGTCACACTTAGGTAGTTCTGAAAACGAGACTGACCCAGATGTTGCTTGGAAAGTTATACAAGCAGCTGTGGAAACAGCAGTGACATCTACCAGTGATTTAAACCAAATGGTTACAAAGAACCAATGGATTTCTTCAAGGTCTATTGCACTGATAGATTCTCGCAAACTCATCCCATCAGGTTTTGAATACGATGAAGAGCGTAAAGAAATCAAATCTAGATTAAGCAAAAGTCTAAGGAATGATCGTGAGCAGTGGTGGGCAACGAAAGCAAAAGAGATGGAAAAGGCGGCGGCTATAGGGAACACAAGACAACTCTACAGACCAATAAAAGAAACTGGAATTAATAAATCAAGTGTAAGTCAGACCATTTCGGAAAAAGACGACACTCTCATCTGCTCCCAGTCCAGACGCTTAGAACGATGGGCGGAACACTTTAAGGAGCAGTTTAGCTGGCCTTCAGCTACTCTACAACTACCCTCTATTCCCAGACAGTGTGAATGGAACATTGAAGTAGGTCCCCCAACTCTAGCTGAAGTTCAAAAGGCTATAGTTAATCTGAAACGAGGAAGGGCAGCTGGTCCAGATGGATTGGCCCCAGAGGTCTTTAAGGATGGTGGTCTAGTTTTAGCGATTAGGTTGACTAATATTTTAGCTAAAATCTGGGAGTTAGACGTCATCCCATCTAACTGGTCACAATCACTTATCGTCCCAATATTTAAGAAAAGGTCAAAATCATCCTGTGACAACCACAGAGGGATTAGTTTGACTAATATAGTATCTAAAATACTAGCTTCGATAATTTTCGGACGCCTAACTAAAACTCGTGAACTGCAAACACGTGAAAATCAGGCTGGCTTCAGACCTGGTCGTGGCTGCATCGACCACATATTCACCATTCGTCAGGTTCTAGAACACAGGCATACTTATCGGCGTCCGACAATGGTGGTATTCCTTGACTTAAAAGCAGCGTTTGACTCTGTTGACCGAGAGGTTCTGTGGCAGTGTCTGTCATTGAAAGGCGTACCTCAGAAGTACATAAACCTTGTGAAGGCTCTTTACTCGAACACTACTAGTCGGGTCAGAGCCTATGGCGAACTGTCATCTGCTTTTGCAACCTCAAGTGGCGTCCGTCAAGGCTGTCCACTTTCTCCTTTTTTGTTTAACTTTATCATAGACATCCTGATGGAAATAACGCTCTCATCGACTGAATTCTCAGGTATTGATCTCCTTCCAGGAGGTCCACTTATTGACTTAGAATACGCAGATGACATAGTCCTGTTTGGTGAAGACGCTGATAAAATGCAGAGTCTTTTGGTAGCACTGAGCAACAATGCTAGAATGTTTGGGATGCGCTTTTCTCCCTCTAAATGCAAGTTGTTGCTTCAGGACTGGTCTGCATCAACACCTGAACTAAGGATAGGGAGTGAAGTAGTCGAACGCGTTGACAACTTCACTTATCTTGGAAGTCTGATCAGCCCTAATGGGTTGGTGTCTGACGAAATCTCAGCACGGATTCGAAAAGCTCGCTTGGCCTTTGCCAACTTACGTCATCTATGGCGAAGACGAGATATCCGTCTATCAATTAAGGGACGAGTATACTGCGCGGCAGTTCGTTCCGTCCTTCTATACGGCTGCGAAACATGGCCTTTAAGAGTGGAAGATATTCGTAAGTTACTAGTATTTGACCACAGGTGCCTTAGAAATATTGCGGGTATCTGCTGGGATCACCGGGTAAGTAATAGTGAGGTTAGACGCAGGGTATTAGGGAATGATGGTAAATCAGTTGATGAGGTTATGAATCTTCATCGACTGAGATGGTTGGGCCACGTGTTGCGTATGCCTGAACACCGATTACCACGACGCGCAATGCTGACTAGTGCAGGGGATAATTGGAAGAAAGTTAGGGGCGGCCAAACCAAAACGTGGCATCAGTGCTTGAAGTCACTAACTTCTGGTCTGAGCCATGTTGGGAGATTCAGACTGCCTGGTTGGGGTCCGCGTGACTATCGTAACCAATGGTTGGAGACTCTTGGTGACATGGCTCAGAATCGATCACAATGGCGTCGGTGTATACACTCTCTGTCTTCCCTAAATTAAGAGATTAAAATCGCTTCATATCTGTCTAGGAACTAATTCTTTCTTCCTTTACTATCTCCTTATACACAATCTTTCTTCTATATATTACCACCACTGAATTAACTACTCCTATGAATCCGGTGTTCATCTTGTTG